TCATCAATGGAGGGACTCTAGGACATATGGGAGCTCATCAATGGAGGAACTCTAGGACATATAGGAGCTCTCAGGCCCCTTATTGGTCCTCACCAAGGGATGGCACCTTGAACAAGCCCTTTATCTCATGAGATGATCAATAGGCTTCCCTGTACTGGCAGCTCTGGAGAACAGGGGTTTCTAGTGACTTAATTTCTGAAAGCCCAAACATAAGTTAGAAATCTTTGCTTGGGCACCTCAGGCTCTTTAAAAGACCTCCTGTCCCACTCTGCAGGCATATGCCATCACCTTTCAAATGACCCAGTCCCAAGCCCCTGCAGTGGGATCCAGGATTCAATACCCTGATCTTTCAGAGTAGCAGCCACCAAGGCCCCTGCTTTTGGGACCAGCAGTTCCCCAGAGCATGTCCCTCCTGTAGGGGATAACTGCTCATATGCTTCTTTAATTATCTATTCAGACACACATAACAAAGATTTTACAGCTCTCATTGACATGGAAGCCCAAATTACAGTGCTTCCCAGGACCTCCTCCAAACATAAGTGAGTGGTGCCCTTTAAATTACAAGGCATAACAGGTAAGGTAATAAAAGGCACTCAACTTTCATTGGATGTCACTATTTGGACAATCTTTTCTTTTTTCTTTAATTTTTATTAGATATAGATAGAGAGAGAGAGAGAGAGAGGGAGGGAGAGAGAACCTCAAGCAGGCTCCATGCTCAATGCAGAGCCTAACTCGAGGCTTGATCTCACAACCCTGGGATCATGATCTGAGCCAAAATCAAGAGTCGGCTTCTCAATCAACTAAGCCACCCATGTATGTGCCCCTGAACGATTTTTTATTTAAAATATTTTAGTGATGGTAGCCTTTTTGACCCTACCCTTTCCTTTTTTTTTAATGTATTGATACTTTGACTCAAAGCCATGCCATTTAGAACAAATCCAAATTCCTGAACTTTCTGGTGGGAGCTGCACATTAGGAGCCCATTAGACTGTTGCCTTCAATTAAGATGGTAAATACCATCCCATAGCACTTACATTGGGGACTGAGAGATTGCCACTCAAAATTCAAGATTTATTAAATGGAGTCATTAAACACATCATTTCTTTCATCTTCCCCATATGTCTAGTATTAAAGTCCACTACTCATGAGTGGTGTCTTAGAGTTCACTATGGAAATGTAAATGCTCTGGTGCCTCCTATTAAGAATCCCAGTCCCAATACTGTCCAGTTAATTGAGGACATCCAAAGGGCTCCATGGGACTATTTTGCTGTGATTACTCTAGCTAAAACATTCTATTCAGTTTCAGTCACCTGACAGGTCCCAGCCACAGTTTGCTTTCACTTTTGAAGGCATCGCATATACCCATACCTCACTGGTTCTGGGTTAACTCAACGGCTGGACTCTTGCCCACAATCTTTTCTGGCAAGGCCTGGATGCCCTTACAGTGTCCCCTTGTGCTCTTTGACACTATATTGATGACATTCTAATCCAGGGCCCCTTGGAGGATATGGTATGTGAGGCCCTAATACAGCTGGTGACCCATCTGCAATATAGAGGTTGGGCTACTGCCCCCATAAAATTTAAGGGTCATCCACAACTGTTAAATTTTTGGGTATTAATTAGTCCTCTAAAGGCTGAGAAATTCTGCTTGCTTTTACATCAATTGTTAACCATTCAGTCTCCTACCATGCTATTGCAAGTTCAACATGTCTTAAAGCCTCTTCACATTTTGGCAGGGACACATACCATACTGATCCATCATTCCTAAACCTATTTATGTAGTCATGCACAAACTCTCCACATTTTGTGTGTGTGTGTGTGTGTGTGTGTGTGTGTGTGTGTTGGGGGGGGGTGCAGAATTTCAACAACAAGCTTTGCAGTTGACACAAAGATCAATTCGTCAAGTCCTCCTCCTGGTTTTCCTGGCTCCTTCTTCTGGGATGAGGCACTGACCACCATGGACAATTTGGGAGCCTATGGACTAAACATGGCTTCTTTTAGTTGTTTATGGGCATCTGGGCAGATGGCTTCTCTCTGTAACCCCTGTTACACCCCCTTAGAATGTCAAATTCTAGCCATTTATTGGGCTTGGTTAGAAACAGAAATCCCCGTGGGAATGGAGCTTGTTCTCCTGTGTACGCATATTCCTATTATGTCATGGATAAGGAATGCCTGTTAACAGTGACTTGGCACAGCCATGACCTTGTTAAAATGGAAATGGTATCTTCAGGAATGGGCTAAACCTGATGTGGTAGGTTTTTCCAAATTACAGGAAGATGTGGTTTCCATACTCCTCCAGTCTCTGCCCAGAGGCCTCAAGGAATTGCCTAAGTGTCTAGCAATCTCGGGTAGCCCCTGGGATGAGTTGATGGAGTGAGGAAAGGAGTCTGTGTACTTTACGGATAGTAGTGCCACCATCTGGTGGAGGGGTAGTGTACCATCCTGCCAGCAGCAGTGCCAGGCTTATCAAAGACAGCAAGTCAGGGTAAGCGCAGTTTGCTGAGCTTATGGTGGTACAAATGATTGTGCACACCACTGTCCATGGCAAGCCTCTTGTCCATATTTTTACAATTCAGGAGTGGTTGCTAATAGGTTAGAAGTTTGGTTGGGACAACGGCAGCAGGACAACTTTCACATTCAAGGCCATCTCATTTGAGGTGCCTCAATTTGGACACACATTGCCCAGGCACCAGTCACAATTAAAGTTATCCCTGTTTCACCACATAAAAACACTGCCTACACCAGAGTCTGTCTTTAACTGCAAGGTGGATGCCCTTATCCAAATCCATGTCATCACCCATTTGACACTTTCAATCACCAATTACATCAGCTCCATCCAGTACCACAAAATCACAGCCTCTCCCTTCTCAATCAATCCTTGATTCCACCATTCTGGCCTTTCTTACTCATCACTTCCACACTCCTTATTCCCAGGCCAAATACTCCCATTTCTCTTTGGGTTATGGAAAAGTTGTTACCACACTGGCCTGGGCCTACCACAGGGACAGTCTGCTTACACACCCTTGCAAAATGCATGGTTTTAAAATGCAGCTTATGCTCCCAAACCAAACATTGGAAACTGTCCCATCATGCCTCAGTTCTGTGAGGGGACCACCCTTGTCCTTTTAGCTGTTGGTAGGCTAACTTCATATGGCCACTTCCTCCTTCCATGGGCACTGTCTGCTTTGCCATTACATATGTGGATTCTTTTACTGACCTACTACACCTAAAAGAACACCTCTGTGGAACAGGTAATCTTTTCTAAAAATATCCTGCCCCCATTTGGCCCTCTTGGCAATGACTCAGATCAAGATCTCATTTTATTACCAATATAGCACAGCACCAGGTTCTCCTCCAGGAATTCAAA